ATCTCCGATCTTTCCAGAAGCAAACTAGTTTACTCTTTTTTAAGAAAACACTGCGTTGGATAAACAACAACAACAAACGATAATAATTCAAACCAACTCTCTCTCTTCCTGATTACTCGCGACATATATTTCTCTCTGCCCTAAAATTTTTGTCCGCAGACATAAAAATACATGATTATGAACAATTCCAAAACATTTCCCAATAAAATGAAGTCAAAWTCCATTCCTTATTTTTGACAGACTAAAAACATTGCAAAAGACGAAGATAAGGATTCGGTAAGTAGACCCTTAAATCGGAGCCGCTGCAATTTCCACCTCAAATGTTATAAAATTATGGCTTTATTGACTTCTTCAWTTAAACAGTTTTTCGACTGCCTTGTTTACGACCTTCAAGCTGACTATCTCGCTGCACATGGATATGAATTTCCATTTACAGGTAATCATAAGTAATAATTGGTCGAAGTGTGAATGAAGAAATTTATTTTTTTATTGTAAGCCCTTCACACCATTTCCCTTGCTTCCTTTAATATCTTTTATTGCACACGATACACGATAGAGCGAATTCTACACGAAATTGTTATGGAAGCCAGCAGCATTTCAAAACTCGCCATTCACCGTTATTCGTCATATGTATCTTAGTTTCTTTAATAAACTTTTTAGCATGATCACTGTTTATATCCGTTATTCAGTTCGGTTCGGTTCGGTTCGTTTAATTTCACACATTACTAGAAAGCCTATTGTTTCTATTTATACTACAGTATTCGTTATTCGAGGTTACATCACTCTATTCATACAACCCCATGACTATGCTCACTTAAATAAACACGTGCAGGGTACTTAACATATCCCCCGCCTTGAAGTACTAAGGCCTCAAACAAAATTTTAAATCAAGCAAAGAAGTTCCAAGGCTGTCCAATTCCAAAAATTGAGACAGAATTTCGATTAATACTAATGATAATGATGAAGGTATTTGCTCTTTAAGATTGCAGGAAGATGGACTTGCTGATGAAGGAAACAGAGGGAAGCCATCAATTAATCGGACACATCGCTAGCCAAGT